ATAAAAAAAAGAACTAGATTACCCTGTTGTTTTTTTTTCATACATTGAAATGACATTTTATTGAATATTTTAGTTAAGTGAGAATGAATGCCTTCAAGCTGAAGTTGATACAAATGATGACGATCAACAACAACAATAACCATTATCTCGTTCGATATCATTTCGAACTCTTCGTAGGATAACAATTATTGATATGATTCGTTATAAAGCCTCAGAGAAAAGTTCGAATTGATTTTAATCGTCGCCTTTATCTTGCATTATTACCAACAGTTGGTAATATACCATTTCGTCGTATTTGTAAAGAATATGATGGTTGTGAAATAACTTGTGATGAAATAGCAATGATAACATCCTTACTTCAGAGACAATTATCTGAATTTGCTTTATTAAGTTGCCATCCAACTGAAACTATATTTGATATACAACTTTGTTGTGGTTCATTTTTTGATACAATGACACAAACAATTCAAATTCTTAAAGAAAATTTTGATTATGATTTTATTGATAAAAATTGTGCATATCCAATTGATCTTGTTTATAAATAAAAACGTGCTGATTGTACATTAAGACGACGAACATTTAATTGTGAACGTATATGTCAATGAATCTCATGTTTTTGAGTATATCCAATAACGATGAAATGAAATTGAGGAATATTAACTAGTTAGAATAATCTTCATGATATTATTTCATTAATTAAATCATAGAAAGCTGAACATAATGAAAATTATGTTGCTAATTAATTTACTTTATAGATTAGCGATCAAAAGAAATGCATTATTCAAAAAATGCTGATTGAAATTATATTGATGAATATGCAATATTATTAAATTCAATTTCATTACATGGTGTTGGTAATCTTTATTCATTTGAAGATTAGAAATTTCCAGCTTGTAATCAATCAATTAATATTGATTTTATATTCTTGTCGAATAATCTGACTGAAGAATAGTGATAACGATGAAAACTATCACAGAAAAAATAATTTGTCTAATTTTGGAAAAATATAGAAAAATAAATGACTTAGCAAAAATCAATTGTATTTCTTTATTTTTGAAGTTTGTGATTGTGGGTGAGCATGTGTGATTCTGTTCTGTATTCGCCCACAGACACATCCCAAGTTCAATCCCATGAACTTTTGAAAATGTCATTCTAGTTTTGTATTCTAATGTCTTCTTTTACATGAATCTATTATCAACTGAATCCTTTATTCATACATAGCACATGGTTACAACTAACTGTGTAGTAACTTTCTCCAG